GATCTTATAAACGACTCTATCTTCCTTTTCTTTTCCTTCCTTCCTTCTTTCTTTCTTTCTTTTTTTCTTTCTTTCACGCGCCTTTTATTATGTACATTTGGATCTTATAAACTTTCTTCCTTTTCCTTTTCTTTCTTTCTTTTTTTATAAGCTTTCTTTTTTCTTTTTTTTCTTTTTTTCACTTTCTTTTCACGCGCCTTTTTATTATGTACATTTGGATCTTATAAACGACTCTATCTTCCTTTTCCTTTCCTTTCTTTTTCCTTCCTTCTTTTTTCTTTTTTCTTTCTTTTCTTTCTTTCACGCGCCTTTTTATTATGTACATTTGGATCTTATAAACGACTCTATCTTCCTTTTCTTTCCTTCTTTCCTTCCTTCTTTCTTTCTTTTTTCTTTCTTTCTTTCTTTCTTTCACGCGCCTTTTTTCTTATGTACATTTGGATCTTATAAACGACTTTTCCTTTTCTTTTCATCTTTCTTTCTTTCTTTCTTTTTTCTTTCTTTTTTTTCTTTCTTTCTTTTTTTATTCTTTTCTTTCTTTACTTTTTTCTTTCTTCTTTCTTTCCTTTTTTTTTATTATTTATTTGTACATTTTTCTTTCTTTCTTTTTTTCACGCTTTTATTATGGATCTTTATAAACGACTCTATCTTCCTTTTCTTTCCTTCTTTTCTTTCCTCTTTCTTTCTTTTTTTTTCTTTCTTTCTTTCTTTTTTTATTATGTGTACATTTGGATCTTTTCTTTCTTTTTTTTTTCTTTCTTTTTCTTTCTTTTTTCTTTTTATTATGTATTATGTATTTGGATCTTATAAACGACTCTATCTTCCCTTTTCTTTCCTTTTTCCTTCCTTTCTTTCTTTCTTTCTTTCTTTTCTTTCTTTTCTTTCTTTCTTTTCACGCGCCTTTTTATTATGTACATTTGGATCTTATAAACGACTCTATCTTCCTTTTCTTTCCTTCTTTTCCTTCCTTCTTTCTTTTCTTTCTTTTCTTTCACGTTTCTTTTATTATGTACATTTTGGATCTTATAAACGACTCTTCCTTTTTTCTTTCCTTTCCTTCTTTCTTTCTTATAAACTTCTTTCTTTTTTTTTCTTTCTTTCTTTTTTTCTTTTCTTTTTTCACGCGCCTTTTTTATGTACATTTGGATCTTATAAACGACTTATCTTCCTTTTCTTTCCTTCTTTCCTTCCTCTTTCTTTTTTCTTTTCTTTTCTTTCTTTCTTTCACGCGCCTTTTTATTATGTACATTTGGATCTTATAAACGACTTATCTTCATGTTTTAAACGACTCTTCTTTCTTTTCCTTTTTCTTTTTCCTTTTTCTTTTCTTTCTTTCTTTTCTTCACGCGCCTTTTTTTATGTATTTTCTTTCTTTCTTTCTTTCCTTCCTTCTTTCTTTCTTTCGCGCTTTTTATTATGTACATTTGATCTTATAAAACGACTTTGGATCTTTTGGATAAACGACTTTCCTTTTATCTTCCTTTTTCTTTCCTTTTCTTTTTTTCTGTTTCTTTGGATCTTTCTTTTTCTTTTTTCTTTTTTTCTTTCTTTCTTTCGCTTTCCTTTTTTTCATTATGTACATTTGGATCTTATAAACGACTCTATCTTCCTTTTCTTTCCTTCTTTTTCCTTCCTTTCTTTTCTTTTTCTTTTTCTTTCTTTCTTTCCTTTCACGCGCCTTTTTTTTTTCTTTCCTTTTATTATGTTCATTTGGATCTTATAAAACGACTCTATCTTCCTTTTTTTCCTTCTTTTCCTTTTTTCCTTCTTATAAACTTTCTTTTCTTTTCTTTCTTTCTTTCTTTTCTTCACGCTTTTTTTAATATGTACTTTCTTATAAACGACTTTTATCTTCCCTTTTTCATTTTTCTTTCCTTCGCGCCTTTTTTCTTTCATTTTTATTATGTACATTTGGATCTTATAAACGATCTTCTATCTTCCTTTTCTTTTTTTTTCCTTTCTTTCCCGCGCCTTTTATTATGTACATTTTGGATCTTATAAACTCTTTTCTTTTCTTTTTTTTTTTCTTTCTTTCTTTCGCGCCTTTTTATTATGTACATTTGGATCTTATAAACGACTCTATCTTCCTTTTCTTTCCTTCTTTCCTTCCTTCTTTTTCTTTTTTTTCTTTTAGATCTTGCTCTTTTCTTTTTGCACGCGCCTTTTTATTATGTACATTTGGATCTTATAAACGACTCTATCTTCCTTTTCTTTCCTTCTTTCCTTCCTTTTCTTTCTTTCTTTCTTTCTTTCTTTCACGCGCCTTTTTTATTATGTACATTTGATCTTTAAACGACTCTATCTTCCTTTTCTTTCCTTCTTTCTTCTTTTCTTTCCTTTCCTTTCTTTTTCTTTCTTTTTTGGATCTTTTCTTTTTTTTCTTTCCTTTCACGCGCCTTTTTTCTTTGTACATTTGGATCTTTATAAACGACTCTATCTTTTGATTTCTTTCCTTCTTTCCTTTCCTTTTAACTTCTTTTATTTTTCTTTTTCTTTCTTTTTTTCTTTCTTTCACGCGCCTTTTTTTATTATGTACATTTGGATCTTATAAACGACTCTATCTTCCTTTTTCTTTTTCCTTCTTTCCTTCCTTTTCTTTTTTTTTTTTTTCTTTCTTTTTTTCTTTTTATTTTCTTTCAAACGACTCTATCTTCGCCTTTTTTATTATGTTTCCTTTCTTTCTTTCTTTCTTTTTTCTTTCTTTTACATTTTTTATTTATTTTTTCTTATAAACTCTGTCTTTCTTTTTCCTTCCTTTTCTTTCTTTCTTTTTTTTTTAACGACCTTTTCTTTTTCCTTTTTTTCCTTTTTCTTTCTTTCTTTTTTTTTTTTCTTTCTTTTTATTTTTTTGTTTTTTTAAATTTTTCTTCCTTTTTTTTATTATGTTTTTTTGGATCTTATAAACGACTCTATCTTCCTTTTCTTTTCCTTTTTTCCTTCCTTCTTTTCTTTTTTCTTTCTTTCTTTTTTTTTTTCTTTTTTTCTTTTCTTGCTCTGTTTTATTATGTACATTTGGATCTTATAAACGACTCTATCTTCCTTTTCTTTCCTTTTTTTCCTTCCTTCTTTCTTTCTTTCTTTCTTTTTTTTTTTTTGATCTTCTTTCTTTTTTCCTTCTTTTCCTTCGCGCCTTTTATTATGTACATTTGGATCTTTATAAACGACTCTATCTTCCTTTTTTTTCCCTTTTTCCTTCTTTTTCCTTCCTTTTTCCCTTCTTTTTATTATGTAAATTTGATCTTTCTTTCTTTTCTTTCTTTTTCTTTTCTTTTCCTTCCTTTTCCTTTTTATTATCTTTTCTTACACGCGACTTTTATTATTTGGATCTTATAAACGACTCTATCTTTTTTCTTTCCTTCTTTCCTTCCTTCTTTTTTTTTCTTTCTTTCTTTCTTTCACGCCTTTTTATTATGTACATTTGGATCTTATAAACGAC